CTGTGTTCTTAATGCACCCGAGGATCCCATTGGCCTTTAATGAATTTTTATTTAAAAAAAAAATCCTGTTATTTTCTTAAGTAAATACAATCTGAATGACTCGGTGTAGGAAGAGAGGGCAGGAGGGTGACAATTGTTTTATTTTTTTCTGTCAAAACCCCTTCTTTCTCTCCAGATAAATGCCCCCGTTGTGCAGCAAAGGCACTTTTCCCACTTTTAAATCAGGAAAAGAAATATTCTTCTGCATTTGACAAATAGACAACATGTACAAAGCAGTTCAGGGGAAGTGAGGCAGCTTTAATAATCTGTATCCCATCATTATTTGTCACTCATAACTTCATGGCTTATAACTAGGAGTTTAGGCACTTGGACATTCCCCTCCTCAGAGGGTAATGTATCAAGATGGTATCATGACCAACGTATCATGACCTCAACAAATGTTCTATTGAAACAGCACAACGGCTCCCAAACGGCAAACACGCTTCTGCCGGCGGTATCTCAAGCTTAAATATAATTCAGTGCAAAAGAGCTTGGCAGTGAGGGAAAACCTGCCGTGTCCCAGAGGCCCCCAACTTACTGAGGTTCCACTTGAGGCCTGTGGTGGTCACAAGACAGGCGTTCCCGATGGGAACGAGGCCACACCACTCGCCTTCCAGGCCCGTGTCCACGTGCAGCTTGTGCTTGCCCTGCAAAACAGAAGGCCCCTCGTCAGACTCAAAGCAGTGCTTGCCAACAAGCATTCCAACAAAAAAAAAGAAAAAAAAAAGGGAAGTATTTAGATAGAAGTAGGTCTAACCCCAAAACTAACCCAAAGAGCTCAGGAACATTTGACTCTAGGATTTCAGATTGGTTGATATTTTGGAGAGAAAGGAAACATATATTTGGATTCCTGACCTTGGCACTTCCAAAATGAAACCAAATGGGCTGATCCTGAAGCCTGGATCCTGGAATTTGAGTTCTCTTTAAGACAGAACTAGCTTTGCTCATTCTCCTGTGACACTTCTGAAGAGTCATTTCAACCAAACTAGGCTGCTACTTCTTTTGAAATGAAGGTGCCCTGATCTACTCATTATTTTTTTACAACCTTCTCTGTTCCAAATAGCTGTATTTCACTTCCTCAACAATGATAGTCAAAAAACCCTTTGGAAAACCATCACTATTTTGACTACATTTGTGTAGGGTTTTTTGTGTACTTTGTGTACTTTCCCAGACAGCAAAAGGAGGAGTACTTGTAGAATCTTAACTGGATTCTAGAAAAATTAACCTAAATACTTACAGTATCTAGCTTATTCCAAATAAACACCATAAAGTGAAATTAAAAGACATTTTTGTAAATTCCTTTTGTAACTTCATGAGATGGAGGGGAAGAAACAGCTATCAGTGATGATGGATTTGTGACAAAATCCTTAATTAGTTGTCCTAGACCTGAGGTCAGCATCTTGCTAGATACCAGCATGTGAATAAGGCCAGTGAAGAGTATATCATGGAAAAACCTGATGGAATAAGTAAGCAGAATTCTGACACAGCTTGTCTTTTAAAAAGGTGCTTCTTAAAACTAGTTACAAAAAATAGCAAGTGAAAGAAATGATGACAAGATCAGTGGAAGAATCATCCTCTGGTCTTTTCTAAATAGGTCATTTATTCTTCACTGGGAACATCTGCGGGGAAGATTAAGAATTTTTTTTCTTTCGTTCTAAGAAATACGGAGCTCTTTGGGGTTTTATTCTCTTGTGGATGCACACGCAAATTGAATCTTTCAGTGTCTCTTTTATATGCATCCTTTTCACCACCATGAAAGAAGCAGGTTGTTTATTTTACTAATCTATTAGAAAAAAAAAAAGACCTATGAAACCCAATGCATCAACCTGAACCTTTTACTAAGCAAGGAACCAAGGGCTTATATCAAAAGAAGAAACAGTTAAATATAAAACACAGGTAAACATCCCAAGCAGCAAATGCACTTTCACACAGATTTTATTTTGGGCAATGTATTTAAGCGTTTTGTCTTATGCCCTGTCCTCTCCCATTCACTCCAAATGCCCCTGCAAATACAAAGCCATGAGTCAGAAAGCTAGAAACTGGCATCAGACTATCTGATTGCCCATACGAAGTGTCTGAGGTGTCTGACAGATTCTCCTGTTAATGCCAAATGCATTATGAAAAAGACATCTTCAATAGATGTCAAGCTTTCAGTTAACAAATGAACCCTGGAAAAGTTGTCAATTAGGGAGTATCAGATTTTATAGTGCAAGCCTGTTTGATTGTTTGCAGAGCAACAAGAAAACCAATGCAATATCATCTATCTTCTCAAGGTGGCCAACTTCACGTGGTGATGAGCCATGTATTTCTAAAGTGGCTCTGAATGCTTGCCTGCCAAGTTCAGAGATGTAACAAATTCAGGCCTGATAACCTTTCAGCTACGCAATATGCCGCATTATTTCTCTCTTGCAGTATGAAGAAAGAAGGAAAGAGAGAGGGGATAAATAAAAGTGCTTCTCATCACACAGTGTTGCCTATAATAGAGCAGATGATGAAGGTGCGACCGCTGCTCTCCATCAACACAAGCAGCCTTTCTGCTCCGAGCTGTCCAAGGAGAGGCACAAGCTCACTACATTCATCAACTAGTAAAGGAATATGAAGAACAGAGGTAAAAGTAACAGACTCAACAGAGAACCTGATTAAATTTCGTACTCTCAAAACCTGCACTTACTATTAGCTTTGTATTTCTCTTTTTTTGACATTCAGGTGCGGCTTATAAGCAGGTATACAATTCAGTAAGGAATTTATGCAGATATCTCTCTTCTTGTTCTTATGAAATAAGGCATTTAGAACAAAAGACATAATTCATTATCAGAGTCTTGCCGATATCCACGATTTTAATCAACAACCTTTTAAAGTTTGATATTTCCCTGGAAAACACACTTCACACATTCCAGTGATTACATAAGAATCCTGATTTTCCTCCCTTGAAAAGAGATTAGTTTGAGAGGAGACCAAAGAGCTACAAAGAAGGCTGCAAGTAAACAGGAACTAAAAAATTAAAATGTAAATTATTTCTAAAAAGGCTTCTTGGTTGTTAAGTCCTACTCATGGCTTAGGGATTGATTCAATCATATTGCCTAAGACAGATTTAATGACTATTCTTTAAAAAAAGATCAGTAAGAGATTTTACTATCAGAGGGGGCAGAGGGGTGTGGAAGGAAAAGGGAAACAATCAAAAAATTTTTTTCAAAGAAAATAAAAAGACCCGTTCATTTTTGCTGGAAAGATGCATTTACACAGTAAAGCTGGGAAGCCAAACACTGAGTCTGCAGCAGGGAAAATCAGTTGTGCAATCATATCTTCAAGTCTTCAAGCAAGGATCGTTCACCAAGCAGGATGGAACTGTTACTTGCAGAAGGAAAAAGGGATCAGAGCTCTCATCAAGTATAATCTGCAAATTGAAGGACTCATCTTCTCTATATAAACCTCTGTGATTAAAGGAAGCATTATATACCAGTACTTAAAATATGAGACTGTTTTTCATTTCTGAAGAATCCAGAGTTCCAAAATTAAGGAAAAGAAAACCAAAGTTGACTAAAAAAAGTCCTTCTAAGTTATTTTACCTTTGCTGTAGGTAGCTGAAATACTTTCACATTTTAACTTAAGAATTGAATATTACCATGTGTGAAAGCTACTGGTGATAAAATAATGGCAAATAATACAGGTGCATTGATTTCTATCTTATTAGGGCAGTCTTGAAAAACATTGATCAATCGTCAGCATTGATTTTTATCTTCATTTTGTGTCTTATGCTAGGAAATAAAATCAATTTCTAAGTTCAGCAATAAGAAGAAAATGTCAGAAGATTTTTTTTTAACAGAATGTTTCATCCATACTAGGTTAAACTTTTTTCTTGATTTGGCATTGTGCTGTAAGAAAACATTTAAATGATAGTGGTTACATATATCCTCACCCCAGCGTTGTTGCTGCTGAAGAAAGCCCTAAAGAGATACTTTTCCTTTGCATCTCTTAACTCAAATGAATCAAAGCATGACTGCCACAATCTCATTTACCATATAAAATATAAGCAGACACTAAAATCTGAAACTTTTAGTGAAAAATTTGCAAGCTGAAAAGTATGTGAACAATTTATCAAGATAAAAGCTGATAGTTGTTCTGCATGTACAGATACCCTGGTGGCACTTTTTAAAATAGAGAGTGACTTCTCCAAGCACTTTGCAGAACAACTTGAATAAATGCATTATAATAAACAGATACATACTCTAAAAGAAATATCAAAGAGCCAAAACATAATGGGATAGAAGAACTTCGGGGATGGATCTTTAGTCTAAAGATTCTAAAGAGATCTTAGGCAATAAAAAGAGAAAAACCTAGCAGGTCAAAATGGAGCACAGAAAAAGGCATAAAGCCACTTAGAGAAGATAAATGAATAAATCAGATGCTAGAAAGGAATAAGGAATTAGAATTAAGCTTTAGAAAACAAATGATAAAAGATTTAATAAATAAATCTTGGAAACTGCTCAGGGCTAGACTATGTAAAGTGTGGTGGGGAGGCAAAAGAAAATGCATTGCAGGATTAAAGGAGAACAACCTTATTCTAACTTTTGGACTGCTATGATACTTGGCCCAGTATAAATACATAAGTTTAATCCTGAAAGTCTGATCTTCTAAGTCACTTACTTTCACCTGTTTCTCCTGTGAGATCTGGGATTACAGATAATCTGGTACTGGAAAACCAGCCAGCTGCCTAAAATACCTCCTCCACCAGCTAGATACTGCTTTCCATAATCTTCTGCTCATAACATCTTTTCCTATCAGCTTTCTTTCAGTGAATATTCCATAGATGGCAGCACACGCTTGAAAACAAAAACATCAGCAAAAAGCTAAATATAGATGTCATCGTGTTACCCAGGGAAAAGACAAAACCCACAATCTGTTTTGGTATATAAACATCTGGGTGCAGGAAAAGGTAGGGAGATAAAGTAATTGAATGGGTGGATATTAGCAAGATCTCCAACAGCACAGAGGAGGAGGAAAGGAACAAGGACAAAACCAAGCGAGAACATTTAGGCTTAAAATCAAATATTGTGATTGACAAGAAGAGAAAAACAAAGTTCCAGAAATATTTCTACTAATGATCAGTTGCGTAAGAGCTAGGCTTAACAGTAAAAAGTTTTTAGGCTCAGTTTTGGAGCATGATAAATATAGCCCTGTTTTCTGAAAGGATGTATTTAAGAAGAGCTATTTCATTATAATCCTAAAATACTAACAATTGTCTTATCCAATTAATACATTCAATGCCAAGTTCCTATCACATAAATGCTGTTCACAGAATGTTATCTGAATCGAAAGAACTTTTTTGTTGCTGTTGGAAAAAAGAGTATCCTTAGTTCTCATCAACACCCAGAAATTGAAAAGCTTTTCTGCATCATATCAATGATTGCTCAAACTCTTATGTAAAAAGCAGCAAATTTATTGCACGTTGCTTTTGAATGAAATGACATTCAAATGTTGGACCCAATTCGGCTGACATGTACTATCTGGTGTTAGTAGTACTCCTGCACTGCAATGCATGGACCTAAATATATTAGTTATCTGCAGGACAGAGCCCCGCTAATCCTACCCTTCATGAGAAAAGCAATTCATAAAACAACAGTTCTACAGTAAAATCCCAGGCAGCAGA